GCATATCGTAGCCGCTCTCACCGACCCCCAGCTGACGAGACAGCCAGACCGGACTGAGACCATCTGTGACGTGGCCATAGAGGGTAAGGTCGAAGTTTGAGAGGGCATGACAGACGGGACACTCGAACGTAGCACCTGACCTGGAACACATACAAAGGAAGCCAAAATTGAGTTGCAAACCAAATAAGGGGTCGAAAATGAAGAATAAAAGAGAAGGAATGGAGCAACTAACTTGCTGTTTGTACGAGCCTTCTCCTTGCAGCGGGCATGTATCAGGTGTGGACAGAAGGCGATGAAGGTGCCCTCCTCGTCGATTGGATCGCGACTTGCAACGAGAGGATGAGGGACCCAGGAGTCCTCTGCCAACGTTGTCTTAATTACTTCGTCTGAATTCGGTTGGCCTACGTAATAATGTGGCATATCAGTCCAGTGAAAGTAAACAAACCGCACATAAAACAGTTATGATGTTACAAGTTGGAGGGTGTTACTAGAGTGTCATCGGAATGTTAGACGCCTTTTGCAACCAAGTCGTGCTATTATCTGGCATTCGACGTTTGCTATCTGCCACGAAACGAATTACAATGTCCTCTCATTGTCTCAGCAAACGCAGGAATCTAGGTGACCGAAAATGCTCTCTGCGTGGAGGCGAGTGGCCGAAAATGTATCCAACATTCAGCATCAAACCCATTTTAACTGTCGCAAGCAAAGATAGCCATCGTAGTCCTCCACGAAGAAAGTACCACATCAGTAACTTGGGTGGGAATTATTTTAAATGGGGCAGATTTGCACAGCCTCTACCGCTGTCTGTCTCTTTCTCCATTCAACCACCTTGCTGTTATGTTCAAACAGTGTCCGAATGATCAAAGTGGCACTCGGGTCCAGTGGCTGAGAAAGCACAAGACCTCCAAAGAACCTGAAAACCATTGAACAGCATGATAAAACTTTATTTCGGTAAACAAAAATACATACAGCACGGGCTTACGTTCGGACACAGAAGATACTGGAGAGATACATGACTGTCTGTAAAGTTGAACTCATGGCCCGTTTGGTAGATGTGAGTGATAATTCGTCACCGTTTGAACATTCAGCTTATGCTTATGTATACGCGAACCCAACCTGCGCAGCTTTAAAGACAACGTAGGCATGGGACACGAGACCTTATCCTAGATTACTCTTTGGATTTAGTCTATCTTTGATTTTCATCATACTACCACGCAACCGAGTTTTCGGCCGGTGCGCGATTTCGAAACCTAGTACCACAACGATGTGCTCAGTCGCTTTTGAGATCTCCTGGATGGACGACCAAGCGTGACGATGAACTCTTATACAGATGTGAAGGTTAGGATTCTAAATCAACTGTTGTGAACCTCAACTTCTCTTCTCGTTTAATCATTTTAATTCATAGTACCGAAGAAATTGAGACTCAGACGATTGAAAAACATGACTAAAAACCAAAAAATTCGTTATTTTCATGTTTCTACTGCTCCCGAGTGGACGAGGGATTCGCGCTTCTCAAAACCCAACGTGCACCAGCAAAGTTCAGCAACAGTACAATCTACTACTATGCGGTTTCAAGTAAATAAAATTATCAATATTAATTTTCATGATGATAATAACCTTTCTATGGCTAAGTATGCTGCTGCTGAACGCACCGCTATAAGTAAATTAGAATGAATTGGATTTGATCGGATTCTTCCTTCCGCTCATGTCCGTAGCATATTACTGTGCGTCACATATTATGCGGGATTGTAAGAATAAGAGTCTGGACAAACGCAAAAAGAAATCTGGACGTGCTCCTGTGGTTAGCTCGCCCGTTACCTGAAATGGTCGTAGATGGGGCTGCTCGTCAGCTGAGGCTCCACCGCCATTTAGATAACGACTCACAGCACGAGTAAAGCTGTGACAAACTCATGCAAAAAAAATAAATAGAAAATGTGGTCAGCGGAAAAGGAATATCGTTGGGCTTCTCCACGTAACCTGCTTGTTTGATGACAGAATCAACAAACGGACATAACACCTCAGAAGGAGAGACTGAGAGAAAGGGAAGCGGTACCTGGTCCTGCAGAGAGGGTGGCTGCAGGATTTGGTTCTTCATCCTCCTCCTTTTTCCCGCTTGTCCCCTCCAATTCGTCGATTACAGGGGAGGGTGGGTTAGCTAAGATTTTGGGCAGCGCAGGTGGTGGCGTCATGGCGACTCCTAGAGAATTATGATGATAATAAATAACATTGAGCCGATTTGTTCATCTGTGAGTGCCCTTAGCGTATTGTGTAATAGAACGCATAGAAAATCTAGATGTAAGAGAACGTTCGCAGTCCAGGTATTTTTAGTGGTAAAGAAGACACACGATCTTCTGGCGCCGCTACGTCGACGACACGTTTGTCATCATCGAGAGAAACATGCTACAAAACTTCCATGACTTGCTCAATAGAATATTTCCTGACATACAATTTACATGGGAAGAATAAAAAGAGCAGCAGCTGCCCTTCCTTGATGTCTCCGTCAAGAGAACACTCAACGGTGAAATCGAGACGACGGTGTACAGAAAGGT